GTAGGCGCAGTCCCCGAGTTTCCGTCATCCTTATATTCTACTTGAAACCAAATTGACAAAATTAGCGAAATACACTCATTTGCACACCAATTTGGTTTCGACTATATACTCACCTGAAACTCGGGCACTGAGCCTACCTAATGAGCCCCAAGAAGGGCGAAACCGGTCGTGGGCTCTCGAGGAGTTTACAGCAACCTCATGAGTAGTGCATTACAAAAATGTATATGTATCGCGATATCCCGACTATCGTAGTGAATGAAACATGAGGCGACCTGATGCAGCACATTCAGTTTCCTGGAAACATCAAAACCGTGAGTTTTAGCTGGGTTTCAGGTGAGTCTCTCGAAAAACCGAACTAGTTTTCAAATGAGTGTATTTCGATAAATTTGGTCGTTTATGTTGAGCAATTTTGTGCTTTCTGTACGTTTCCACATGGTGGATGTGGTGACAGTGCTTCATGGATATTCCTTTTTGGCGAATGCTTGTGTGCATATTTTATAATCTTCCCTTTATGAAATCCACGCAAGAGCTTCGTCTCCGCTGTTCGCAAGGCAGCCGAGTTTAGTAGAGAACGCAAGGCAATAAATCTGGGCCAAATCTGGGTCTTCGACTTGGACATACCGAAAGAAATTCCATCAAAGTTACTAAATGTCTCCCGAAAATATTCGCTATCTTCCACCACAAGGGCGTGGGATGTATAAGTTGATTTACCCATTCACATGGATGTCAGTGATACATTTGTTAATTTGTGTAAATTCGTAACTACCACGAAGCTTTGGTTGGGCTGAGATTACACGGAATATTTAGTCGGCTTGGTTTATTCGATTCAGATCTCAGTTACGTTTGTTGATGGTCTTTACTGATAACCGCACACCACTTGTCAGCTGGACTCACCTAGAACTGACGTCCCTATTTGCCACGTTTCCTGTTACGTTTCCTGTTATATTCATACCATCGGCTTGGCCATCCACCTGTGGCGTACTGAATTAGATAACTGCTGAAAGACAAATATCGGAAAGTCCTCTATCCACTTTTTGAGGTGAATCTGGATGGCTAATAAGTTTTAATCACTAGTGAACCTTGTCTTCAGGTGATTTTCCACTGCTTTCTATTTTTTTTAATTGATTGGTTCTGTCCATTGGTTCCTCCAACAGGGTTTGTCGTATCCCTATTTGTGCGGGGAACACAGATTAGTTGAAGGACTTTGGAAAGACATTACTCATGTAAATGCACCAGGCCCTAATACTGAAACCGATCATAGAAGAGCATTCCAGTGCTGAGAAAAATGTTCGGGAATTTACCAACCACGGAAAAAAAAGTACAAAGCTTCGTGTATTGTGTTCAAAATCACTGGAAGTATCATAAGCTATGGTGCATTTATTGGTCCGTTCACCAAGCTAAACAATCGGTTTTCGAACAGCTCGCCATTTTTCAGGGAGGTATCATCTCTGCGCGGTTAAATGCGTTCTGAGTTCACCGTTCTATCTTCGGAAAGAACAGTGATACTGGGTAAACTCTTTCATCATTTCAGTTAGATTTAGCTGGACCTTGTAGACTCAATCAATTGACTTTGATATTGACCTTCAATACCGACAGTAAGAACAAAGGTTTGCTGGTACATGAGGAGCCAGTAAGTTGCGTGATTGCGGGTTAAAGGGCACTGTATCCTGTCTTAGTGCAGGTGAATCACACCACTAGCCGGGAGATTATGGGTTCGAACCTCTCTAGAGTTTCATGAGATGCACACTGTGGATGACTGCCAATCATAACAAAACAGCTGTGCAGTGTTTCTCGACCTTTCAGAGACAGAATTCTTCACTGATTAAGAACAACAATGAAGACCGGAAGAAGACAGACGTGTAAATGCTTTTTGAGCAGAATATTGTTCAAACACTCGCTGATGTTTCCCTTAGGAGAATGGGTTTACCACGAAGTGATCGACCTAACAGACACAATACCACACATTTCAACCGACATTCCCCATCCTCAATGCACTTGTCTGTTCAGGGCTGTTGCTCCATGTTCCATCCTGTCCAAGGTCATATTTTTATCTGTAAACATGATGGCACCGAATGCTTTTATTTTTAATTTTAATGAACTGAGACTCACTTATGGCCGTTATCGTCATCGTGTTCAGAACGGAACCAATTTTATACTTCCGTTTTGATCACTTTTCTTGACTCTGACTGACCTTTTAACCTCCGAAATTTGTTTCATGAGCGCCCGAAACCATTACTCACGAGATTTAGATCAACAGTAATATCCCGACTATTGGTGAACAGTTGCCAATAAAATAGTGACGTCATGATTGACAAAACTAGCTTCAGCACGCTGCAACAAGTTAGTTGTCTACTGTTGTCAGGAGTTTTGTAAAGCCTGTTAAGATGAAATGTCCCGACTGACTGATGCGAACTGTTGTTCAACTGAAGATACTGTTGTCATGAATGCGTAGAAGATGGTCAGAACAGACTCAGCATATGTCAGTCTTCAACCAGTCATGACCTGCTATTGTTTTCTGGTTGCAACCAAGCGTCATGCTAGGAGCGAATTTGGTCAGTCCCGGTTATACGACAGGTCAGCCTCTAAAAGATTTAATTAACAAACGCTCATGTCAGTGCAATTATATCAGACTAACTGGTTACATCAAATACCGCCTGATTATAAGGCAGCCATTTTTGCTCCGGCTTATTATATTAGGCAAAACAACTGTAGGTCCGTTTCTCTGGCCTGGACAATAGCCTGCCCTTTTATTTGAATTCCAAAGATAAAGGCTTGATTTCCAATTATAGTAGTTTAACGAAAAATTGGCTTTTTGGTTCGTGCCCAGCATTGGTAAGCTCTAAACAATACATACTTTGCAGGTCTGTGCTAGTATGGATAGTACACTGCAAAAGCAGAACAAGGGTGTAATTTGTCCAAGGATAAGAAACTGCCACACAAAAACTGGACTGGAAGCGTTCGTAATGAGCTTATTTTGGGGAAAAGAATAGCCCTTCTGAAATGTGGTTCCTGTGTAGTACCTGAGATCTGATCGATGTAGATTAGTCAGTCCTAAATTTTCTTTAGCTGATTGGGCAGGCTCCCATTGATGTTTATTAATTAAACCGGTTGAACTGTAGGTTATTCAGGACACAGATCTATATGGTTAGACTTATTCAACGATACGCACTCGTCCACCCTCCAATGGTTTGCTTTTCGTCGTTAATCAAGGGTGTGCGTAAGCTAGTGAAGAAATTTTGCCGTTTCACGGACGAATTTTTGAGGCCTCCTAAAGGGTGTTCCCAGCTAAACTTCGTAATCGGCAGTAGGCGGACGAGATTACAGTACACATTCGAAATGTTTTCGTCCATTCATGATTCGGTTGCGTTTCTGTGTACAATTAGTCTACATGGAGCGAAATGAGTTGATGAGGACATCAAGATATTCAAAAATGAGTAGACTGCCGAAGAATCTTGTGAAATCTTGTAAGACATCCCTGTCAAAAGGCTGGTTATCTAACGAGCTAAATCGACGAGCAGATAATCTACCACATTCACTGCCTCATGAGCTCCCACATCCCACCCTCAGCCAAGCTACATCCTATCCTGTCTAAGGGGTCTAGGATGACAGTTAACTCTAGTAATAAACACATCGTAAGGTGCATCGTGTTGCCTTCGTATAGTAGTTGCTACACCTGGTCATCCAGCTAGTGCGAGAACATTGCGCATTACATAAAACTGCATTTTTGTAGCCAAAAATAATTCCTAACAACTGGGAAATTACTAGCGCCTTTATTAGACCATTATATGCTTTGAAATCAACATTTTCTGGATGACGAACAGCTTGCTGGGTAGCATAGTGGTGCCTAACAACACGATACCTTGTGATCACGTTCATCGATCTGACGATGAAGCCCACCGAATTTTGCTGAAAAGCCATCCGTACTTTGTCTAACCAAAGCATTCTCTACAGGTAGCACAACCAATCATCTAGAGGAGTGGAACTTGCTCGCAGCAAAAAAAATGATGCCTTATCGGAGTTTGGAAGAAAAAATAGAATCACGCAGATGACCGCATCTAATATTACACATATTGGAAGCTATCTATTACTTTCCACAAAAGCGAAGACCACACCGGTGGCTGAGAATGATCGGTTTTAGCGAGATGAGCGTAGTTGATTAGCCAGCATCCAGCCTATATGACTGGATCAATTTTTGCCCCAAATTAGCCGTTGATGGTCACGGGATTTGTAGGAATTGAATTAACATCACTTTCGTATTGAAAGTAGTCTTATCTGATGAATACGCGATAAACAGTAGGGTTGATTCAAGGAACTTGAGTTTCTCACCTTGCTTCAGCTAGTTAGTAGAGCAAGTCATGGTCAGGGAGAGCGTGGAACTTCGAACATGTGAAATGCGTGAATAGCGTTTCGACACTACTGCACCTCCCCATGTTGCATTCACCGGAATTATCACGTCTGAACAGGCGAACGTGTTTAACTTTTGATGATGTCACTAGTCCCACATATTTGGCGACCGCCTGCAACCAAGAAAAGCCTTTTTGGTGGCGTGTGGAGATTTTGGAAGTGTTCAGTCGATATTTCTTTCTGTAATTGATGTCTTGCTAATCCGAAAGGCCGAAAAACAGTGCGCAACTGTTCCATCCTTATTGGGAACTACAGGCAGTGCGTATCGCACGAATCACCCTATAGAGTAAATAAAATACCCAGAAGCTTTCAAGTGTCCGTGGAGCCACCTAAGTTTGAAACCAATCGATCGACGGTCACTCGAGACGTTCGAAAGACCACTCGTATCCATGTGTTACCAGAGCGAATGCAATGCCAACGAGCTCTAGTAAGAGCGAAACTCGAGTCCACTGCAGCTTATCCTCCCTCTATAGTGGACTCACCAGAGTGATAAAACCAGGACAACAGTAAGACTGTTCAGAATAAAACGCTCTGAATGCAGAGTCTTCACCAGGCGTATCTATGGGCAATGGATGTTTCTAAGTTCGGCCTGAATAATGAGCACTACTCACAAACTCTTGAAAACTCTTGCGCAGTTCATTACCAGGTTTGCTCTTCTTGGGGCTCATCAGGTAGGAGCGCTCCTTGCGTTTCCGTCAACCTTTCTTTCTACTTAGACCCAAATTGTTCGCACTTCTTCAAATATATTCACTCACTACTTAGATTGTTTGTTAACGAAAAGCTCAAATGAATCGTTTGTGTTATTCTTCCACTTTACGCTGTGCATGAAGATCGCCGCATATTCCAGTTAGCATGGTATTCAACATATTGGAGAATATTGCTTTGACGCCATTCACTATATGTGAGTTTACTGTATACTCTTCGAGAAAATACCATAGGCGATAGATGTAGGTGAGACAATTGTTAACAAGAACGTAATGTGTAAATCAACATAGACCGTCAGTTGCGCAGAAGTTAGAGTTCAAATAGAACACAAGGTTGACAAGAATGTGAAGAAAACGCTTATGTGACGGGCCTTGCCTGATGTGGCCGTTAGAGTTCTCAGACACCTGCAAATAATAATTTGTGTCTAGAAAATCTGCCTTGCCATTTTGAATGCTCGAATGTAAGTGTACCCTTTGTTCCACCAGATTTGTGTGAGCATGTAATGCACTTACTCTACAAACAAACAAACCTTTTGAGGGTTCATTAGAAGTTCACTCAGCGTGAAGAATTGCTTTCAGCTTACTGATAAAGAACGTTTCCTTCTTGTATAGACATTATGCACTACTCATAAGGTTGTTGAAAACACTTTTACAGCCCACGACCAGTTTCGGCCTTTCCGGGGCTCATCGGGTAAGCGCATTCCGTGAGTTTCTGCTTGAACCCAAACTGCACGAGATTAGCGAAATTCACTCATCTGCTTTGACAGTAGACTAACCTGGACCCCGGCTGAATCTCTCGTTTATGCGAAGCTGTGTTCCAGATTAGTCCCCCGTCAAAACCAAATTTGTATGCAAATGAGTATATTTCGCCCGCTTCATTATTCTTTGGATTTTCCATACAGCTTTCCATCTAGCAGATTACGGGGAAAGGGAGTTGGATCTGAATGCTCGACGACGGACAAAATCCCAGTGACCAATGAGAGATTTTGTATTTCTTTGAAAGTATCGAATTACATGCTAAATTGTTTCCGGTCACGATAGTTTTTTAGCGCTGCATCATCGTACACACCCACACATCTAGTTAAATAACAACACTTCGTACTGTCTTGGACGTTGTCAGCAATTATCGATTGCTATGCAGTTTAATCGAGTAGGTCGATTATCGTGATCTTGTTCCACTTCCGGAACCCAGAAAATAAAGTACAATGTTGTTGTTCTTCTAAACTTAGCACTCATTATCCATTTGGCGTTTTTTTAGATTCGAACAAAGAAACAAAGGAATCGATTGCAGAGTAAACAATCAACTTTGAACGGTTTGACGAATAAGTGGAAACGTAGTGTTTATTCCATCACACGACTGCGCGTTCCGGGTTGGGGTCAGGACACTCACAAACGATAAATGTAATCATGGCTAATGGGGAAAGCGATTTTGTTCGACAGAATTCTGTTAGAATACCTGAAAGACAAAAACGTAGATGGGTTAGTTATCTCTCTCGTGCTATATTTCACTTTTTATTATTTCGATGCTGATGTGTGCGGTAAATCATTTGGTGACGTCGAAAAATAAAACGGCATAGCACAGCATGATGGTTTATTTATGTGTAAGGGTATTTTAGTTGTATGCTGAATGCTGAACAACTTGACCCGATTACATCAGCAACATGCACGAAATTTTTCATAACTCTGACGAACGTGCAGGAAAATGAGTTCGAGTAGGGTCAGTGACCCCATAACCAAATTCAGAGTTACCGAAATTGATCGATCTTGTTTTGACTACAAGCGTGTGAGTAAAATTAAGCTACAAAACTCTGTCCCCAGTAGACGTCGTAACGCGCCGCTCATGAACAACCGCACTGTCAAGTGTACACTTTTTTTGTAGCAGACTGATTTACAAGAGGCTTCCTCCTCCTACATGTTAAACTTCTCCACGAGCACATGGATCAAACTATGAGTTCTGGAAATAAAGTGAGGCTGTAACCAGTGTGCTGGTGGTCCTATTTTATGGCTTTTTTATTAACAATTTTATGTTATATGATTTAGGTTAATATGTGTCTACTTCATTGTCAAAACCATTCCAGTATTCGTGGATGTAGTTGACAGGATGGCTGACACTCGCCTGACTGGATAAAGAAGAAGACGTAATAGAGATATTCGTGGAATTTGTAAAGTCCTGTTCAATAAATCAGTGAACTCTTCGGTTCTCCATTCGCCGGTTTTATCGGCTCCGTAGTTCCTTAATGAACCCTTAACGTCTCTTAAGTTTCTTGAGGATGCGTCGCTTTCTTGAACAGTGCACAGACATCCGATATGTCTACAATGAAGTTAAAATAGAGTGACACTAGAACCGAGAACATCATGATGAAGTTACTAGTTCACTAGGGTGACCATATCGAAGACACTATAGAGCAGACTAGTTTTCGGATATCGCCATATAAAAGGAAACAAGAACCGGTCAGTCTGATGTACCCTAGATCCTGCTGCTAAGTTCAAAATACCCCACCCGGACTGCTAAGTGTAATTCAGCGTTCTGGGCGTTGCTACTTAGTTGATTGTGTAAAGCTGCCTTATGGACCAAGGCTTGGGCTGCTATGCTGCCTTCCAGGACGCCAGACGGTTGTACTTTGTTTGCTCACTGCTTTAGCAGAAAACTCAATGTGGAAAACTTTTTCTCGATCATCATGCAGGATATTTCACATTGCAGGACCACGTGACACATCCAACGCAAGAGGCTGATTAGGATCGATAGAGCAAGTTTCAAGGTAGTGAGATGCTTGTTCTAGTTCTCCAAGCACTGTCTTTTAACCAACCGTTTCCGATTGCATCGTATGGCTTAAAGACGTGGTTAATTATTCATATCAGTGCAACCCGAATGAATCTATAACGTTCAGGACACAAGGCTTGATCAAGAAAATTGCACGCCATACGCCAGTCGATGTAGACATGTGTGGCTGCCCGGTCATTCGTTTTATTGTCTCTCTGACGCAAAACTCAATGAAGTGTGCATAGTGCTACGCACTGTGTGGGTGTTTCACAAGTTCACTGGACAAAGTACGTCAATCTACTGGTAGTGGTTGTCGGAAACTGGATGACGGCCGACTGGAATCGCCAGAAAGCGGCTGTAAATTGCGTGGACCTTGGCTCAAATCTACGGTTTTTCCTATCTATTTGCCACTTTTGCCAAGCAAAAGTTTATCAAGCAACTCAGTTGTCGCCAAAAGTATTCAGAAATTTTGATTTATTTTTCGGTCCACTTGCGTGTAAGCTGGAACGGCAGTGCTGAGGAGGCGAGCTATTCGCTTATCAAACTAAACCATGTTACCAGTGCTTTCAGCCATAAAACAAGTACCACAGCATACAGCTTGAGTCAGCACGTCCTCATCACAAGTGTCCCGAAATTTTAGCAGATACATTCTTGGAGTACCCAAATGTTTCCTTCCTGTAGGAAATATGAAGCAGACATTAGTTGTGGGTAAGCCTGTATCACGTCCTCCTCTTAGCACACAGTTTCCATAACCGACCCGTTACTGATGAAAAAATTGGAGTCAGAGAACTGAATGAGTTGTAAGCCTATGGGACACATGAGAAGTACGTTTCCCGTAATGTATGTTTGGTCAGCAAATCCATCACTTCCGAGTTTGTGCCCCAACTCAAAGACTGGACATTGAATGGTACACCGATTTGGTTTATTCAATCAGATCTTGTTTGAACATCTTGGATAGCGCTTCTAGTGAATTCTATTGCAAAGATCAAGTCCACTCCCAAGTAAGGTAATACGAAGGTTCTAGACTAGCTCCTTTAATCCCTCAGAATACGCACTGAACACAGTGGATCTGTATCCTTTGAAAGGGTCACTGTTCCATAACCGACCCGTTACTGATGAAAAAATTGGAGTCAGAGAACTGAATGAGTTGTAAGCCTATGGGACACATGAGAAGTACGTTTCCCGTAATGTATATTTGGTCAGCAAATCCATCACTTCCGAGTTTGTGCCCCAACTCAAAGACTGGACATTGAATGGTACACCGATTTGGTTTATTCAATCAGATCTTGTTTGAACATCTTGGATAGCGCTTCTAGTGAATTCTATTGCAAAGATCAAGTCCACTCCCAAGTAAGGTAATACGAAGGTTCTAGACTAGCTCCTTTAATCCCTCAGAATACGCACTGAACACAGTGGATCTGTATCCTTTGAAATCAAGGGTCACTGACGACTTGGATAGACAGAACAACTCTGAGTCCTGAACGATCATCCACAAGTTATCAATAAGTGATCAGCTATACCCGCATTAGTCTCACTAAAAATTTGATAGTTTTCATCATCATCCTCGTCATCGACAGCATGACATCAGTGTTCAACAGCGATCTTCACTGCTAGCTATACCCGCATTAGTCTCACTAAAAATTTGATAGTTTTCATCATCATCCTCGTCATCGACAGCATGACATCAGTGTTCAACAGCGATGCTTCACTGCTGTACATTAGATAGTCTTGAATACTTCTCAACCATCGGTAGAGTGCGTGACTGATGAAGCTCACCCTCTAAAATTTTCATTCATAGACTTTAAGCTATAGTCTTTCATTGTGCACCTTGAGAGCTAATACGTGTAGTCTTTGCTGGCTCGCCGTCTAATGGCTCCCTTACAAGCCAAAAAGATGGGTCCTTGGTGAATAATAGTTCACTACTCCGAATGTACCACAGCTCGATTGCTCTATTTGTCTATTAAATAAACCCACGTCCAATGGCAAGATCAGCATGGAACTGTGTGATCAATATATCATGTAGACACCGGTACTTAGTTAAACTGTAGCGGTAGCTACTGTATCTTCAATTGATATAACTCATACACTTTTTGCAAGTACTCAGTGCGGTCAGTGGTGTATCCTTTGCCTTGCCATAGAATTACATTTTATCTTGTTAATCTTTCCAGCGTCAGTCTACATTCTGAACAGTTGTAGAGGCATTGAGGGTAACATAAGGCTTACAAGATCCACTGTTGCACTAAGTAGCCTGTAAGGGACCTTGTGCAAAATCGAACTTGTCGGCTTCGTTTAGTTAATATATCAGTGTGAGACGCTGATCTAGACAACTAAGCATATTGCACCGTACAACCACCTTACATTAGTAGGCTGAATGATTAGGTTCGAAACAACAAAAGTCTCTTGTGTTCGTGGAAACTCATTGGCGTTGAGTTCTGGGTGCCGTTCGGTAATGCTGCCACATTGCTGGAAATCTTGCGTCTGTTGTACTGAAAACATTTTTTACTCAATTAGAGTGAGGTTTTTGGTGGTTCGGGATTTTAAAACAGCGCCTCTCGAGTGGTGACGATTCGGGTTTCACTTCATTTTGCCACTAAGACCATTAGCAGTTGGCGCTCATATCTCCAAAAGCCCGAGTAACTCAATATAGGGTGGCTCATGGCCAGCAGTAATAGTGGATGCTGCCACTAGTTCCTGTAAGTACCTAAGCGGTCTACATACGGTACGCAAAAGACTTGTGAGACCGCCAACTTCCACGCCGTTTCTCACAATCCATACCATCAGCTCTTAGTTCGGGTCCTTCTGATTGTTTACCAGCTTTCCTTTAAAATGTACCGATAATGTTTTCCAATTTCTTGCTGAACGGTTACCCATCTTCAGAAAAAAGCGTTCAGCTGTAGCACTCTTTCAGTGCCTAGTTGTTGTGCCATCCAAAGGAAGCTGGGGCTGGAATACTGCCAAGTTGCCCAAGCCTAGACAGGGGAAGTCGAGAGGCAGAGGTCGGGTTCGAACCACGGACCTTCCGGTCAGGAAATTCGTGCTCTAACCCCTTGGGCCATCTCGCCCTTCATCTTCAGAAATAAAGTGTTCGACAGCCCTTTGGCCATTCTACTACAAAAGTGACCTCGAAGGTTCAACCGCTGGTTGTCATTGCGTAGTCTGTCGACAATCTTATTCTCAGAACCCCCAAACAAGGGACGATACTTTATGAGCTCTCCGGAAAAATGTTCTGCATCTAGTTTGACTAACCCGATATTAAGTATGACTGCCATGGAGAATTATTTCACTAGATATGTCAAGGCAAATTTTCAAGAGGAGTGTATGTGGCGCTTGCCTCTACAGCGCTGATCAGTTGCTTTCCAGGCCATCACTGGTTTGGCTCAAGTGAGCGCCTCTCTGTTTGGTCTCTAATTCAAGAAGCCTGGGAAAGCGGAGGAATATAATCGTTTGTGAACAGCACAAATACTGTAAGCTAGATCAGATACAACTGGTAGTTATGCACCAGCTTCCAGCAGTTGAGGAAGTTGTTTCGAGGTCAACAGGACGCAAAAATTTCTAGGCTCCAGCCAGCAATAGGGTTGAAATTGTTGAAAAGTGCTTTCGACCCTGAAAATTAATGCCTCAGATTGGATTTTTGAGTACCGTGACCGCCTATTGGGTCGCAGAGCAGACTGATGCGTCTCAATGGTCCGAAAATTCAGGAACCTACATATGATGTTTTGAGAAATTCTTGTCATAAGTCTCTATCTGCAAAGAACACTTAAAACAGTATGAACGAATGAACAATATCCGAATTAGCGTTCGACGAGTCATTTAGGCAAACAGTTAGTCTGAAAGCCGCCACATCGAGCAAAAGAGGATGTGACAATGCTCATTTAGGATGAATGCTATACGGTGCGGATAAGTATTTCCATTGTATAAGAAGTTGAACCGGAAGAAGAACTGAGATAAATGAAACTAGATACTGATGATTTGGATATGACTAAAGGCAGCAGGGAAATTTTGCAACTCAGATTTTTTTCAGACTCAACAAACAGCGCAGGGCATTCATATTTGCAAAGTGATTAAAAGGAATTCACATTCTCAATCGTCGGTTGATCACCCTCAGCTTCCAACACCGAAACTGCTGAAAACTATTCACAGTGGCTTACCAAATCTAGTCGGAAACGAGTGAGTCAATTCGAGCCATTTTAGAACTGTATACTTTCCAGTTGTATACGGATAATGAATACCATATATACGGACATTATGCAGTGACAACCGGGATGCGAGAGCAGTTTTGTTTGTGTTTTTATACATCGACGCACAGCGAATTCTCTTCGGGCCTGATGCCTGATCAATGAAATTTGTTGCTTCATTTCCAACCCCTGTCCCAACTTTCTTATACCAAACGATAAAGTATCTTCCCAAGGGACACGTGGTGTATACAGTAAGGCCCAAGGCAACGTTGACCTGAACGAAACGTTTAGTTGCGAATACATGCCTGTATGGACACGAACACACCCACAAACCGGGTACACATAGTCAGCCTGGTTAAAGCCTGTTATTTTTAGCTGTCTATTTTCAATATTGTATGTTTGTATGCATACCCATGGAGCTTATCTGACTAAACATCGGTTCGAATGCGTCCTAGTTCAAATCTCACACCCTCAAAACACAGCTTGGTAGCCCGCGATAGAGGAGGGGCGGTCAGGTATTATGCGTTTGGAAGTGATGTTCGCCACATCAGTGCATACACAAGCCAGCAGACATTCCAAAGGTCAGTAATGGGAGAATGCTTGAATTATTTATCGAACGTGTTATAGTTATTATTAAGGTATGAAATTATAGACACACTAAGAGACACACGATGTTGTTTCGTGCTTGTTTGCTACAATGTACCAGGTATTACGGTACTGGACGAACGAGTGACTCATCATCATCAACATCATCATCGAGTTCAACTGAAAACACGAAAATCGCTTCAAATAAGTTGCAGCGCACAGATGTGAATATATTTCCTTAGCACCCTCAAGTTGTTCAGTAATTCAGAATATGTGGGGATATGGGAAAACCGTTTCAGCCTATTGAGGGGCGAGGGTTTGCGTATTCTCCTCGGTAGTCGACGCAATGTTTTCCAAAATGAAAAGTTAATACCAAGCTAAAAAGTAGATACACCAAGTTGAGGATGGTAAAGATAGAACATGATTGATACGTAGGACCAATACCAACGTTCTCTTGAAGGCCAACACTGGTTCTGTCTAGTAGTAGGTTCTGCTACCTTCATCGGCTGTTTTAATGGTTCACAAACAGTAGCCCGTTTGAACGTCAAAAGCAACTCCTTTCCCTTTTCATAGTTTTCTGATAAATGATTTGAAATGATCTTTGTATAGCGCGAGGATCCCGTGCACATTTCGTTTTTCTATCTCTAATGTGTCCGACTTGCCTAATGTTCTTGTCATGGGTGTCAGGTGGCGGAGGGTAATACGTCCCCCACTTGGAAAACTCAGGTACTTTTACTATGTCGACCATTCTATGCCATTTTGCGGAATGTTACCTTTTGAATATTCCCATCTAGCAGCTCCTTGAATGATACATTTAAAAATGGTGCCAAGTTTTCAGTCCCTCCATCCAACCAAAACTGAATGTTCGAATCAGTCTGGCTGGAGTTCAGTGGAGACATCTTGCGTGTCTAAAAACCCTAAATCTACCACTCATTTTTCCGTTTGTAACAGACAAACGTCGTTATAGTAAACGTCAATTATTCGCTTTCAGTTTTCGTCGCAGATCCCAATTCATATCGGGTCTAAAGTTGACTTCATTATCACCCAGTGGCACCATGTGTAGCTGCAATCGTAGTGAATTGAATACTTCCTGTGCGAGTTAGTGGTGACGACTCATGTGAACGCATTGGCAAGCTATAACCACTTCAGTACTGCACGTACAGACAAAGCTAGTTGGTAGATTCGTCAAGCAGTAAACAACGTAGTGGAATCAACTGATTTACCTCCAAAACGGTCACTAACCACGGAATTGTCCATCCCTAGTAAACTATCAGTATCACAACAGGAAGCAAATATCACAAGAAGGCTTGCTGATTATGTATAACTGCACGTCCTTCTGTTGCTTACAAGTGTTTGCAAACCCTATCCAACAGTTTTTACAACAGTATATGAGAGCTAGATTTTATGTATGTCTCTCATGAGAAGTGTGTCTGCTCTACTTCGCGGCTCTTCCCAGCGATTCTGGACCATCGATGACCGATTTGTTCAGCCGGATCATTGAACGATGGTCCCCAGAAAGTAGAGCTTACTGGGAAGGAGGACGAATAAATTCCGAAATTGTAGTGCTTATTTTTCACAAAGGAAACTATTCACGAGGTTGCTGAAAATCCTTCAACAACCCACAACCGGTTTCGCCCTTCTTGGGGCTCATCAGGTAGGGGCATTCCCCGAGTTTCCGTCAAACCTTATGTTCTACTTGAATCCAAATTGTACTGTTTTCGATAAATACACTAATTTGCAAATCAGTTTTTCACGAGACTCAACTGAATCTCCCGTTTATGATATGAGGCGGCCTGAGTGCAGCATATTCAGTTGAAGACTACCATAAACGAGAGATTCAGTTGAGTCTCTCGTGGAAACCTTATTGATTTGCAACTGAGTGTATTTCTCGAAAATTTTAGCGTTTACTCTTCTCATATCTACTATAATGCTCACTAGTGCTTCACGCTTTGCGTTTGACAAATTTATGCAGACACATCAAATGAGTCAGAGTATACTCACGTTATTAATAGTAATAAATTTAACCCCAACTGAAAATTCAGGATCCAAAAAATGCTGTGCAGCCGTTAATACAAGTGAGTTTATCGATTCAGATGATATGACAACTTTCAATTGAAACTATCGGACTGATAATCCAGAAGAAACCGAGTTTGAGTGTCAGGATTACAAACTGCATTTGGTGCGGAAGGAATTTCAATAACTGCTGAGACGAACAGTATTTGTTTCTTGAAATCGGGAGTTTTTACGCTAGAGTTGTGTTAATAGAATCCATGGTGACACGTGCGGTTAACCTGAGCACGCCGGTCAATTTTTCGATGTTAACCATGCTGCCTAATGGTATGAGGCTTTTGAATTCACATCTTCCTAGAATGAGTAGACATCTTAATGTCACGAGAAGGATAATAAGGCATAGCCAGCATTAAAAAAAGGGAACAGTGGACTCGTTATCTTTTAGTGCTTATCACCTCGATATACTTGGCCATGCTGACATTGGAACTTTTCATATTTGGTGTGTGGAGCGCACTATTGACGAAGCCCCCTTGTCACGTCTGAACAGGTGAACATGTTTGCACTTTGAACGATGTAACTGATTTATCTGACGCCTCAAACACGACGACCTTTGGACTGTCCCGACAATTTAGATGAAAACGGTGAAGCTAGAGTGCAGCTCTTCCACCTCTAATTAGGGACTAAAAAGAATCATCGTGCCAAGATTGGAGGCCTGTACGAATGAGAGAAACGTGGATGCCAATTCTACTAATGTCGTAAATGATTACGAGTAATGGGACATTTGGGTTTTTCACTTAGTATAAGCTGGATCCATTTTAAATTGCTCGGATTTACCTTCTGAGGACTCTAGGTACGTAAAGCTTAGTGGTTTATGCAGACAGAAATCAAGCACTTCTTGAAAGTTTTTCTGCTTCAACTGGTTGAAGACATCCTGCTGCAGTGAAACAAGATTTCTATTGTTAGAAGGGAAATCGATCCAGTGTGAAGTTAGGTCTGATCCCTCAAAAACCAACACTTTCAGATCCAAATCGCGTGGAAAGCATCGATTCGGTCTTAGCCAGGAAGTTGGCTTTTTGTGTAAGTTGCACTCCCAAAAGTGACTAAGTTTAATCATTTACCAAAGGTTTGCTGCATATTATTTGGAATAATGATGGCTGGTGTGAAAACAAAACCATTTTGCCCGTTCGTGAAATATAAAGGATAAAGGGAGAATGAGACAGAGAAAGAAATTATACTGATCGTAGCAAGATAACAGTTTTCTGACGTTCAGTCAAGTAGGTAAGGGAGTGCAAACCTATTCTAAAAAACCACGTCGCTACAGACATTTGTCTTGGATCAGTTTATCATCCGGTCTTTCAGTACGAAACCACCTCATGACTAATTTAGCCACGGTCAGGTCTGCCGTGCCAGATGCTTTTAAAAGGTTGAACATGAGAACCACAGAAATAACCAACCCAAATCCGCAATTTCACAAAGGGAAGGAGTGCAAGAAATAACGAAATCAACAGCTTTAACATTGGAAGTCATAAGTAAGGAAAAAAGCAACAGACAGAAAAGAAGTCATGTTTCGCCGCCATCACCTTTGATACGGTGCCGCAGACGAAAAGTTGAACTAAGTCAACATCCATGTTATCCTTTTTTTTGAGATCGTAATTTCCCAAATCATTTGGAGCCCGTAACCAGTGACAAAACTAGGGACACCGAACTAACCCTTTCCAGTATTACTGTCATCAGTCACAAAAAAGGAACCACGAAACTTACATGGCAATTCCCGACTTTTGCTGGAGTTGTTCACATTAGCGTGAAAAAATATGATTTGCTAAACAAGTGCCTACTATCCTGTCCCTGTACATCACAAGCAAATCTCACTCTGATCTATTCTATCAGTGAAACACTTGACGGCCACGAATGGTAGACAAAATGCTGTCATTATTAATTGGTCCGTGTACGTTTCCGTAGAACGGCTGATCGACATCGTATTCACCCTCTCCGACCACCTTAAATTCGAAGTAGTTCTCACTGACTTCCACATACCCACTGCACCAAACTGTGATGCTCCTGAAAAGACTGTGCCTATGGAAACAGCCGCGTCGCCTCAAACGGGTGACCGGGGTGCACTTCAACATGGCAGGATTTACTTGACAAAACCAGGTTTGGGCGAATTAAGCATCATATTTCGTATGGCATTGTCCTTGCGAACCCTAAACTCATCGCATCCGACCTCACAGTTGAAGGTGACGAAAATGACAGCTGAAACATCAGGTCATCTTTATCCATTCCACAAGAACAGCCAGAAGACATAAGCGTGAGAAGTTAACGTGACCTTGGCATTCTGAATGCTGTTCTCGTCGCCTACAAATTTTGAATGTTTTAGGCCTACCAGTGATAAAATTAACTTGAAATCTCAATATCTTACAAACTCCCTGCGATAGATTCTCTGGAGGAAACGACACCATTATATCTGTGGAATATTTTAAGTGCCGCCTGGTGGAAACACCACTGCTGATTTACAACATATAGTACCTCAGGCTAGAAAAGACATTCCTGAACTTTACTGTCCATTCTTTATGAACTACTCTTGGCCACAATGCTCGTTGCAGAGGCTCTGAGAGAACTTGATCGTTCATTTCTGTGCTGACCAACTTCATTGTTCAAACATGGATTAGGGTTTACAAACAAAGTGGCCTGACAGGGCTTGGAAACAAACCTAAGCACTGAACTCATTACGTGGATTGTGACCTTGTACTGTGTGTACTTTTGGAGGCAGCAACCTGCAAAAGGCGGTCATGAAGCAACTGCGTGCTTATCAGCCCAACAACGCGAAATTTTAGTGACTGGAGAGAGTTGTCATAAGCGGCGTAGACCGTACTTGACCAGAGAATACCGGTGGTTCATACGATACGTGCCCAATAAATGCGCATACCCGTCATTCCTGAATCCTTAGAAAATTGGAGTGGACTATCCCATCCAAATACTGCGTATGGAGAACATCCGAAAAGCAAGGGGCTTCCTCTCAGGGTCGTATTAACCTTCATTGCGGTAGAGGAGCAGCCTTTTGCCTATGCTATGTGAGCTCGTCATTGAAACCAACTAATCCCATTCGAACGCACTGAACAACCAAGTGCACTTGTGACAAAGATATTCAGTCCGATGGAGCACTAGCTAGTCCTTTTTACCAAATGATGTTTTCGAGGCAGCAGGAGGTTTACACGGTGAGCTAAAATGATGCCTTGTTAGGAGGTCATTTTTTCAGTAAACTAAACAGCCACTCGATACATCCTGTCACAGGAGCACACTACTGTCAATAACCCTGTAATGAAACAATTCCAGAGCGTTACAGCACGGTGCGTTTCCGGAAGCAACTAAAGTCCAATGCTTCAAGAATGATGACCTATTTGAAACTACAACCTTAGCGAAATATTTTCATAAAATTGAAAAAGTAAAAACGAAAGCCATTCTGGAGAGGACATATCATACAAGTCGACCCAAGCCTCTTGTGCTGATAAACCACTCCCAATTTTTTCTCTCGACATCACATTGCGTCAATCGCTTCATCTACATTTGTGGTGAAAACGTTTTGAAACGAAAGGACATAATCATTGGATAAAGGTTTCCTGAGCGTCTCTCTATCTGATTACCGAATAAATGCATTAGACGAACAAGTGATGAAACCGCATCGCCATCGGTTCAGTTCAGTTTATCAGCTTTAATCCATGCACAAGGGTACGTTGATTCCAACTGCTGCAGCTTCAATCACCGGATAATGAGAGAGCAGGAATATATTAGAGGTGATGGAATAGCGCCAGCGAATGAGCGATTGAGTCACCATGGGTTACTAGACTAGATGACATCAGCCTCATATATAATACGATGCTGCGACGAGCGTTATTATCGAGGTTCTTGGAGGCTCTAACATTCGATACAGGCCGACAGTGTGCGCTAAGAAGCGCTTGACAGCAATGTCACACTTGCTGCGGTTTATGCGTATGATTGGACTTAACTAAACAACGTGTCTTGATGTAGTTGCGCGTTAACTCAAGACTGGGTTAAATGTGCTGCGAAGGTAGAAACATTACGAAGTGGTTCCTTCCGCACTTTATTTGTCTTAGTAAATCGAATCGAGAACAATTGATACCAAAGGTTAAATTAAGGCATTCCCAATATGTCCAATTTCTGGCAAGTCATGGTGGTAAGAAATGGGCTTGGATGACGAACCCAGTGTTAGATAAATCAGTACACAAGTAAATAAGGTCCTGCCACTTCGTCATACTACATTGTAAGTCAGGCAAATACAGGGGTCCAAGTCTCGAAATCTTATAGACGTTGGTTTCTACCTCAACTTCACATTGGAGTCTCATTGGTCAAGTAAACCAGTCGAGTGAGCATATCAAGCTTTTTTGAAAACAGATTCATTCACGCTGCCCCATTTGCAGCAAAAAAACGCAATTTCAGTAGAAAGAGCCTGCACACAATGGATACGTGCAATGAATACCACTACCAACACTTCTTGGGAAGAACGGTGTTGACTCCAAGAGAACCCCTCCATTGGAACTGACAATACCCCCGAAGAATGATTATCAGGCAGCTGAACACTCTTCAACAAGGGGAATCCTTCCTTATTAGGAGGGAAGTAGGAGAGAAGTAACTAATCTGACGATGCAGAACACCCGCCGGTAATCATTATTATTATTCATGGTAAGTTTTCAACCTTATTCCACTGCGAATTCTCAGACTTTGAGTGTCTTGATTAACTGAATACAGTAGAAAGGTACGTTTATTCAGGCATTCCTGAACCTCACCCACCAG